TAAAGCTAGTAATGTGCTGTTGGATGAAAACATGAATCCCAAGATAGCTGATTTTGGTTTGGCTAGAATTTTCAAACAGAACGAGACGGAGGCAGTGACTCGCAGGGTTGTAGGAACATAGTGAGTTGAACTTGTGTTATTTCTTGATATCAATTCACAAAACATGTAGAATATTCATAGTGATTGAGTAGGAAATTTCTGTCTTTACGCAGTGGTTACATGGCTCCCGAGTTCGCCATGGAAGGCGCATTCTCAATCAAGTCTGATGTCTTCAGTTTTGGAGTCTTAATGCTTGAAATTGTGAGTGGTCATAGAACTACTAGCTTAAAACAACTTGATCGCGCACTCAACTTAATAGGTTATGTAAGTTTTCTTGACACCCTTTTTAAGTTTTAGTATTAAAATTACGAAATTTGAGATAATAGATCATTCTGGATTAGGCATGGGAATTATGGAAGGAAGGGTGTGCATTGGAATTGAAGGATCCAGCTCTTGGAGATGTGTGTGACACTAAACTGTTATTACGAGTTATTCATGTCGGACTATTATGTGTACAAGAAGGTGCAGCAGATAGGCCAACAATGTCTGATATTATCTCAATGCTTGGTAATGAAAGTATGGCAATGCCTCCTGCGAAACAACCAGCATTTTTCACAGGAAGAAATGAAGCTGAATCAAATTCATCTGCAGAACAATGTTCGGTTAATGATTTGTCCATCACTGTCCTTGAAGCAAGATAAGACTTCTGACACATTCGGTTAATGATTGAACACAGTAACTATATAAGAAAAACACGTGTCCTTGTGGTTTGAATCAGTCCTGCATCTATAATCCATCTCATGTTTGTGGTGTTAGGAGGTAAAAATTGGTGAGGGTATCACCAATGCAGTGGGTTCAGTCCTAGTGACTGCATCATACTCAGGTAATAATAGCTGAGATCGCTCTTGCAGGCTGGAAGATAGTTAATGAGCTCGCTCTAGCAGCCTGCTGAAAATTGGCTAACGCTGCTTCTGTGTGTAATCAAAGCCCAGAGAACCAATCTGTGCAGCTGTTGATTTTGTGAGGACTCGCTCTAATCTTAAAGTTACATTAATGGAAAACTACACCGTATAATTTTTCCTAAAATTAATATCATGTAAAATATATATTAAAATATTAATGTATAATATACATATTTTTATTAATAATCAATGTATATTTTTATATATTTAACTAGTGAATATAATTATTTTTTGCCGACCGTCCAAATATATAGGAGCGGGTCAGGGTCGTTGGGTATTTTAAAAGATAAAAGTGGGTTTTATTTAATACAAATAGTACACGTAGCGGGTTAAGAAAATGTCATATGGCGAAGTTAAAGTCAAAAAATTGAGCAAGTTAGTTTTGTTAGATATAGGAGTAAGTTTGAGCCTAAAATTAACGTCAGAGGCATTTGCAGACCAATAGGTTAATGGAGGATATTTTTGAGCCATTTTCAATACATTAGAGTTATGTTGGCCCTTTACCGTTATTTTTATTATTAGAGAAAAGAAAAACTTAGGAGAAAAAAGACAAATGACATTATTGAATCAGGTTATGAAAGATAGAATCATGTCACTTAGTTTGGTCACGATCTCGAGTGTGCTACTGAGCTGGTAAAACGAACTAATTACTCTTTCTTATGTGTTCATATAACTGGTCCAAGTTTGAAATATTGTCGGGATTATAAGGTGAGGAATCGATCCTTTACTCACAAAATGAAAGTTCAGATAATCCATCAAAATTGAGTTACTAATATTTTCCATACGACCCCAAATTATTCTCTAGAGCCCAAATCTCCATTTCTCCTATCAATTGTCCCCCCTATTTGATTCTTCATCTAAGGGGGTTGTTGTGTATCAAGTGTATAGTACGGTCAAAGATTTTATCTTGTTTTATTTTAATTTGATGAATTAACTTTTAGATATAAGGCATTCCTATCATAAAGGGTTGTTCAAAAGGATTTTATGTCCTTCCACCAAATATTTTGCTATTTGACCAATTTGAGATATCAGGAAACAATATTCTAAATTTTCTTCATCCAAAATAAATTCTTACCCTATTTCTATATTCTTTCTAGATTCAAACACTATTCATAAATAATTATCGATCAGCCTCAGCAAATCTCGAAGAAATTAAAACTTGTGTATGTTAATTATAAAAAAATCATATATTATTTATACTATTATATAAAGCACGAAACTCCAATACAAATATTGATATACTTTTTTTATCCTTTATAAGTATATTATATGTTCGATATAGTTATAATACAATTTATTATTAACACTTTATTTTTTATTTTTTATTCATTATTAGGCCTTTTTATTTAATCAAAATTATTTAACATAAGAAAATAATTATCTTTGTTAAAAAGTGACAATTAATTTTTAAAAACTATATTATTTCCTTGTGTGATCATAACATTAGGAACATATTAAATTTTCTTCCAAATTTTTATGTTACTTATTATTTCAAATTTTTAAGTTTTAGCTTTATCTAGTATTTTAGAACTTTAGAACAAACTACTCAAATTTGGATATTTGCTAATAAATATTTTGACAATAAGAACCAAGTAGTATATTATTAATATAAATGACTAATTTGAATGAAACAAATGGCTCGCTTACAGCTTGTTTGGATGGTTGTTACCTATTGTATTGTATCGTATTGTTACTTTCAATATATGTTTGTTTCGATTGTTACTTAAATTTTATTGTATCGTGTCATTAAATATGTCGTTACGTAACGACAAAAAATATCACTTTATGTGACGATGGATTTGGTGCGGTGGCGTTGTTACCTTAAATTTTTTCTCTCATTTTTCCCTTCTTTATTATTATAGACATATTTTATCCTTTACCCTATTTTTTTATATAATAATTTTACTTCGTATCCTGTTTTTTCTTATTAATATTGCAAGTTTATCGTTCATATTTTTGGTACGTGACATCATGAAACAACGGCAAACGATACAATCTACCCAAACATTGAATTCATCAAACAATACAGTATGATACATTATGAAACGACACGTGACAACTATCCAAACAAGTTGTTATAGTACATTATTTTATATAATAATAACAATATTTTGGGATTTTTACCTCTTAGAGGCCTAAATCAGAAGCTTTAGTGGCCTAATTCTTTGTTGTAAATCTTATGGAAAATACTTTGATAACGAAACAAATAGGGAATTCTTCAAAGCTTGAGGCGTGTCAAAGATACTGTCCTTAAGAATATTTCACCCGATTTGGGTGTATCCCCCAGCATTCAACAAGCTCGTCTAGTATAAACTAGGAGCATAAACTAACAAAGATTTATTCAGCTTGATAGAAAATCCAGCAGAAGGAAGAAGAGTATTTTCTGTATACTTAATCTCTACCACATCAGAAAGAATGTATGTATATAAAGAATGTGTGTATATATAGATGAATGGAATCAAGTGGTTATAATGGGTGATTAATGGTCCAACAGTTACAAATATAGAATAATGACCCATTATTACATGAAATAATAAAGACACTAAATGTTAATAAAATGAATCTAGGCACTTTCAGAAAATATAATTCTGGACACTTCCTTTTGAGATACCATATTCACTATTTTCTAGCAATCCCCCACATATCTCAAAAGGAATAGAAGGACATAATATTTTGTTGGATTCTCTACCTATGAGTACAATGCATCGAATCTGGTATCTCGTAGACTATGAACCAGACCTAAAAAAAATAAGATTAAGCTTACAGAATAATTGGTGATGTTTAGAACTTCTATAAACCAAAAATTCTTTTATAAGCCTAGAGTTTTATCTATTATATTATACTCGCACAATCTTTGTCGTTATCGCGTTTTTTGCGCTAAAAGGCCATGCGCACGCCTGATTTTCATGAGTGCTTTAGCAATTTTGCCATAAATTTCATAAGAGCAGCCCCACTCCACACTCATATAGGTCCATCCATCAAGCGTATTCTGCAGCGAAATACACCACCTATAAAAGGCTATGGTTTATTGGATTAAGATTCTTAATAACTCAGCTTCACATTCCTTGCAGTCTTGCACTATAAACACACACCATAGGTGTGATGACCCAAAAGGTCATCACTTATTTTATAAATAAATTATGTATTCTGAGTCCTTAAAAACCTCTTTCTGTCTCACCTCAATTTGTGTGCATAGTCCGGGCGCGTAGCCGGAAAGCCATTATGTGAAAATCTGTGAAAAGTGATGAATTTTGCCTTTAAAATGAATTTAAGTTGATTTCGGTCAATATTTTGGGTAAACGGATCTGGATCCGTGATTTGACGGTCCCGGAGGGTACGTAGGAAAATATGGTACTTGGTTGCATATGCCCGGAATCGAATTCCGAGGTCCCAAGCCCGAGAAATAAATTTTTAAAGAAAATTATTTTCTGGAATATTTATGAGTTTTTGGAAATGAAATGTGTTTGGAATTTGATGGTATCGGGCCCGTATTCTGGTTCTGGAGCCCGGTACAAGTCTTATATGTGATTTAAGTTGAGTCTGTGAAATTTGGTAAGAAACGGACTTGAAATGTCGTGAATCGGACCTTATTTGAGAAAATTGGAAAATTTAATGTCCTTAAGTAATTTCATGATTTTGATGGTAAATTCATAATTGCTGATGTTATTTTGGTAATTTGAATGCACGAGCAAGTCCGTATGATGTTTTTAGGTTGGTGTGCATGTTTGGTTTGGAGCCTCGAGGGTTCGGGTGAGTTTTGGATAGGTCACGGAGTGAAATTTGCACTTAGGAATTTGCTGGTATGTTGCAGGCTTCGCATTTGTGAAACCTGGAACGCAAATGCAAGCAATGTGTCGCAAATGCGAGAAGTGGCATGGGCTGCCTTGGGTCGCAAATGCGACGACTTTATCGCAAATGAGAAAGTCCCTTCGCAAATGCGAGAATAGCAGACTTCTGGGTTCGCAATCGCAATTGCGATACCTGCAACCTGTAAATTCATAACTTAGACGCATTTCAACCATTTCTCATACTCTTTCAAAACCAAAACACTCTTGGGCGATTTTTCAAGGACAACTTCTCTTTCAAATCGATTGTAAGTCATTCTAACTTGTTTTCCTTAATCTTTAACATCTTTTCACATGATTTTAACTCAAAATCAAAGGTTTTTCATGGGGGAAATTGGGTGTTTTGGGTAGACCTAGGTTTTTTAAATTTTGGGGATTTGGACCTCGATTTGAGGTCCGATTTCAAAACAAATTATATATTTAAGTTCGTGGGGGAATGGGTAATCGGGTTTTGGTTCGAACCTCGGGTTTTGGCCATGTGGGCCCCAGGGCGATTTTTGACCTTTTGGAGAAAACTCCAGTAAACGTATTTCCATGCATTAGAATTGATTCAACTAGCATTTATTGATGTGATTAAGTGACTTGTGGCTAGTTACGAGCGAATTGGTGGTGGAATCAAGAGGTAAAGCGATAGTTGAGACTTGAATTGTGGTCGTGGCATCGAGGTAAGTGTTTGGTCTAACCTTAGCTTGAGGGATTAGGAGTTGTGTCCTATTTGCTATGTGTTATTTGTTGAGTACGACGTATAGGCATGGTGACGAGTATCTATACGTTGGTGTCGAGCATGCCCGTGAGTCTTAAATTGAAATTGTTGTGTTCTTAATAGGTACTACGAATGCCTAAGCTGTTGATTTTCTGTGTTGGGCAAGAATTATGATTACTCTCGTGGAAGTTGCTTATGGTTAAGTATTGGTACTAGTTGAGGTTTCTTTTGTGAAGTTAAATGTTAGAATAAGTTTGGTTATAGTTGACTCCCTTGCCGAGATGTATTTAGTTACATTGTTGATTCCCTTGCTGGGATAGTGTTGTTTCCTTATTGTTCCCTTGTCGGGACTCATTTGTGATTGGTGTTGAATTATATATTGGGATCGGGTTGCACGCCGTAACAATATTATATTTGGATCGGGTTGCACACCGCAACAATATTATATTTGTATCGGATTGCACGTCGCAACTGTCACACCTCCTTTTTACCGCGCCCGCGGGGCGCGTGGGGAGTTTTCTCCAATTGAAGGACAGTCGAAACGGGATTTATTTAATTATTTCAGAGTCGCCACCTGGGAATTTTAAGGCGTCCCAAGTCACCGGTTTTAATCCCTGAATCGAGGAGAATATGACTNCCAAAGAATGAATTGTATATGAAACTAACAAATTCTATTTCTAATTACCATTGATATAAAGTGTTGCAATTTGTGCTTATACATATCATCTCATTCTCACATGCTTGTTTTTAATCCAAAATTATAATTGCTTAGTTTATTTATAACGATAAATAATCAAATTGATGAGAAAGGAGTTATTATTCGAATTGATTCAATTCGAATTGTATTACATACAACATAGTTGTGCGCCTAAACATTCATAATATTCTTAACATCATGACGAGCTATACCAACTCACCTTACTCATATGATTATAAATATACCTGTCATCATGCCATATAATAACTTATATCAATCTAAACAAAATCATATTTTTTACAAGATATACCACTAATGTAACTTCTTAATACTTCCATTCTACTTTACATTTAGCTAGAGGTATTATGGGATGTAATCAATGGCCCGTTTTTATGCCATACTCCCTGTTTTGACAACTCACATATACCTATACTAATGAGATTTCGAAATGGATAACATTATTACAAACCTTATACGAATTTCAAATAAGGTAAATAACTTATAGCCATGGTGTTGAATTTACCACTAATTAACCAACACAAAATAAACCTGAAATTTAAACTAAATGGCTTAGATGAGTAGAAAGCAGAATCATAACTCCAAACTTCATTTATTTGTCGTGTTGAAGCTTTTCACAACATGAGTT